GAGAAAATAGAACTTATACTTATTGTCCCGATGAAGAATAAGGCAGAAGTAGAAACTTGCTCGTGGAATACATTTTTATAATAATAATCTTGAAATATTCCCCATGTATAACTATGTCCAATAGTTGTTACATTTACCATAAATGCAACAAGCACTATTACCCATCCATATCCTCCATCTGGTACTACATATTCTAATGATTCTGTATCTATTTTATCATCATTATTACTATTACTCCTACTGTTATTATTATTATTGTTATTATTTGATTCAGGATAAATAAGGTTTTCTTCAGATACTTTTATTTCATTTAAATATTTTGTATTATTATTATTTTCAATTTCAATAATTTCAATCGATTTTTCCGTCATAATTTTTTATTATTATTACTATTATTTTTTAAAAAAAATTATTCTTTTTTTCTTGCTTTTTTTTCCCATATTAATAATGTTGATGAAAAGCTCGCTAAATTGTTTTTCCAATCCCGTGATTGAAATAAACTTCAAATAAATAAACATTCAAGTATACAATCGAAAAAAAAGAATGAATTGATGATGATGATCTCGAATGTTGGAAATTATCCAAAGTGAAACCAAGCGTTTAATCAATAAATTTTAAAAATTTTTGTATATCGCATCAATAAAAAAATAACTAACCTTTACAGTAGCATTTATTTTGCTTTACAAACTCAAATTTTTACAAATAATAATAATAATAAATCATTATCCGTTGTCATATGCAAAATAACACGTTCATTGCTATTCGATTTTGTGTGTATTATTTCTATGGGCGATCCATTTTTAAAATGACAAGTCATTAAATAAGAATAAATTCATTTAAAATATTATGGGTCAAGAAATCAGTGATTTTTTTTTCTAAAGCTGATTTACATCTCCCTTCCATAGTCATAATAATATTTTTGACATTCTTAGTCGTATATCGTTTCAATTGTTCTTCATAATGTGCAAATTCTCTATCAGGACTCAAACTGTAAATCAGGTTTTTTATATTAATAAAATATATCTTCTATTTTGTTTTGTAGTTCATTAACTGAACTGTCCCACCAAAATTAAACGATTTCTGACCTTCAAGTCAGAAATACAATGATTAATCACATACCTTGACAAACCAGTAGGCGATCTTATATTGTAGATGCTTGATCCCATATAACTTGGTCACTTTTTTCAAATCGAGGTAGCTCGAGAATTCCTTTTGTGTTACTGCTGTATGTGAAATTGAAACGAAATTTATAATTAAAATTTTGGGGTAGGATATGAAATTCTGATTGAATTTCACGTATGTGATTTCAAAACCAAATGAATGATACACACACACACATATATATATATTAGACGACCTACAGGGTGTCGCTCAAAATTCAAACACCTCGTTTTGAAATTCGTGCATGTATTAATCCAATAAAGTATCAAAAGAATGTTTGTCATCTACCTCCAAGTTTTCAATGATTGTTGGTAAAATTGTTATATCTTCTTTGTGAACATTATCTATTAATTTACATATAATAGAATCATAATGTAACGATAAAGGCAATTTTTTTTCTAATTCTTTTAATCGTTTTTTTAATTTCCAACTCACCATATCAATCGAAAAGAGCATAATTTACCTACAATTTTGTTTTCTTTGTTGGAAGCGGCCAGTCTAAAAATAAACCCAAAGTTTAACCCTTTTTTTTAAATAATAATTACTAGAATAACTCTCAAATGATAAGCAATGCTTACTCATGGGAAGCTCCTAAACTTTTTTTTTTTTTTTGGTTCTTTTTTTTGTTTACTTTTTGTTGTTTTGGCTTTTTTTTTTTTTTTTTGAGACGCGAATTGATTTTTTTATTTGTAAAAAAAAAAAATTTAGATGAAAAGTCAAAGACAAGGGAAGGGAACCAGACCTTCATTGACAAGCATACTAGAAGCGTTAGTTAGTTGACATGGTTCTGAAGAAGAGTTATTTATTTAATAACCAGAAATGCTTTTTTTTTTTTTATAAATATCTTATTATTACTAATACTAATTGTAATCAAAACATGGAGCGAAATTTGTCATGTCTCTATCATAACAAATGATTGCTTTGCGTAATCATTATTAATATCAAGTATAATGTCAAAACAATTGCAAGAAAGTGTCAAAGGTAAAGAAAGATAGCACAACTGTTGACAACTGCTTCTAGACAATATCCAACATTTGATCATCGGAAATTTACAGATGTTGAAGTACGCTACTTTGACAGCAATTCACATCTTTTCCTCGTGTACACAAGGCCGGTCTAATCATCATTATTTACAAATAATATTGTCCATTGCTTCGACTAGTAAATAACATTCTTGACCTTCAGTGTTGTGACCCGAAACAAAAACTAACAGAAACCACCTGAAACTAGTTTAGGTTAGTAGTTTAGTTTTAGTTTTAGTTTTAGTTTTAGTTTTCTGCTTAGTGTAAGTTCATTTTCCGAAACGTTTCGGGAAGCCAAAAGAGTTTCTGGTCACAACACTGTTGAACTCCCAAATCTTGTAATTTAAACAGCGGAAGGATTTGATTTAAAAGTGATCCTTTAGGTGGTGTTCCACTTTTTATTTCGGAAGATAGTCACATGTTCGCATGTACTTTTTTATAATGGTACAGTGGTTCCAAAATTTTGAAGAAACAATAAAAGAAAATAAGAGGCTGAGATTAGTGAAATGCTTAATTGATTAATCGTCGAACTTGCCGTAGAAACATTAATCTCTACGTCCCCCAAAGCAAAAAAAAAAAAATATTAATAACCTTTGAGTTTTTTTTTGCGTACACATAAAAAATTTATCTAGTAGTATAATACAGCTTTTTATACAAAGGTCATTATTGTTGTGTCAGTTTTTCTCTGCCGGTCACAAAAAATTACTTTTTACGCAACAAACCTTCAGGTGTCATTGATTTCTTGATCATGATAACATTTTCATTTTTAAAAAAATAAACCCAATACTAAATTAAAACTAGAAAAGCTCTTGAGCATTTCTTTTCTCTTCTAATAATACTTACTTATTTGAACTATATATGTGCTCTTCTTTTATCTTGTCTCTGTTGGGTACCCTTTTTTTTTTTTAAGTGTAATTACAAAATAAAGGGGAAAACACTCAAAAAATCAATTGATTAAAAAATCTAGAAATGGGAAGGCGTCCGTTAATGTAAAATTATTATTTGGTATGGTTCTGAAGAAGTGTTTTTTTGCTAATAAATGAAGTTTAAGACTCTCACTTGTCCAAACTCTATCCACGTGACCAATTATCTTCAATCTTTGGAGAGGAAAAAATTCCATGGTCATAGGATTCAAAAGAGCATGCGATTGTTTGTTTTGAAAGGAAGATTTTATTAAATCTGATACCTATGATCAGAGTTGGCATTGGACATGTATCCAAATTCACAACCCCATATGTTGACAACTACAACCTCATTCGAGCTACCATCATCAATAACATTAGTCACAACACACCTTAAACATATTGGATAAAGTCTAGGATCTTGTCTAATGCAAACCCTGTCTATGAAAATGATCTTAAGGAACTCTAAAACTTGTAATTGTATACAATTGGGAAGCGCGCACACACGTGAAAAAAAGGAACTAAATAGAGACTCAACCACTAAAATTTTTTTCGGTACCACTTGGATGACAACGAAATGGATACACAGAAAAGAAGATCAGATCGAAGCTCCGCAACAATATCAAAGATTTATTTTCCAACGCCGTCAAATTTCTCAAAATCGGTTCCTTAAATTTCATTTCTGCATAGTCTTGATATTATCATTATTTTGGCTATGCAATTTATTTATTAATCCTTTGTAAAAATTAATACAATCATAAACATTGTATTGGACATATACAATTTATAATGAAGGACTAATTAAAAAGGTAAGCAATGTTTATTTATTTTGATTCGTCTGAGCGAGAAAAAACATACCAAATTTTTGATTCGTTTCATTCGAATCGAACACTAATCGTGCTTTGATTCGATTCGACTCGAACCTGACCCGAACCTAGAAATAATTTGATTAACTTGGTTCAAGTATATATATACCATATGAAATAATTTGCATAATTTTAAAAAGGGTTGTCTTTGGTTTCGAAAGTCAAAGAAAATATTTGGATTTTCCATCTACAACCGTGAAATGGTCCCGTCTTTACTTTTGAACACAATGCATTTGTTTCTTCCCATCCACCACTGAACATTTTGCCAAAATAATTAAAATGTGCAGATAAAGATGATATCGATGCTCTAATTTCTGATTCATCATTGAAACTAAAAGCCACATCATTAAAAATCATCATTATTGTTTGAAATAAACTTGCTTACCGAAACCTCTTAATAACTGCCAAAACTCTGATAAACAATTAATGTGTATCTTAGTATTAATATGTAACCTGCCGATTAATCTTCTGTAAGCAACTATAGCTCTAATGAAGATTGAAATTTACCAGAGATATTGTTATTATTAATATTGCTGCTGTGGTGATTTAATTGTGAATTATCTTCAAATCTGATGATTCACAAAACTTTGTTATACCATTATTATCACTTTGACCAATATAAAAACATCCAAAACCTTCTTGAGCATCATTTACAAGCTTTAAATCAACTTTAGTTGATGAATTAGAATTGAATTTAAGTTTAAATATTTCGAATGAATATTTAACCACTCTTCAATAAATAGAATTGTCTGTTGAATATGCATAAAAGAATAATGATAAATATTGTTGTAACTAAGATTTTGGTTCAAGCTATTTTCGAAAAAAAAAAGTAACTTTTGCAATAGTTTGGGTTTCTCGATATTTTTTATAAGAACAAACATGAAAAACTATATAAATCAACCTATCTTGATTTAAATAATTTTAAAAATAATTTGCCTAATTAATAAAAAATAGTTTGGGCCTATAAAAATTAATCTTTGCTCAAAGTGTTTCAACAACTTTGGTTACTAAGTGAGGTAGTTTCGACCGAAAACCTTAGTTGTAACCATATGGAACTAGACAGAGTCTCCAAGCACCTAAATAAAAAGGTTTGCTCCATATTTTTTCTGAATATTCTAGAATTCTGTGAAAATGATAAAAATCCCTAAAGAAAGTGGTAGCAGGCAATAAATGGTCTCCATCATCATCAGTAGTAGAAGAACAAGAAGTTGAGAATGTTTCTCCGAAACATCTTCCTCAATCTTCCTCCTAATTACATCAGGAAATTAAAAATGACATAAATCTACGTGTTAAATTTATTGTTAAATAAAACTAGAATGTCGACGACCACATAGCTTGTAACACATGTCTGCAATTCAGTTCTTCTCTTCCTATTACTATGGCTTTTTTTTAATTGACGTAGTACAAAGATTTAAATTTTTTTTGATGATGTTTTTTTTTTTCTGAAAAGGCAATTAATTTTTTTACAGAATCCAAGACGAGTAAATGTGAATTTAATTACTTGGAGAGGTATCTTTGGTTTTATTGTATTGATTTATAAATATTAAATATATATATATATCTATCTATCTATCTATGATTATTATAAATATTTTATTGAAATTAAAACGTGGAGCAGAGTTTGCTAGGATTCTCTCTATCAAGATAATAAATGATTGGTAGTGTATTTGCTTTTCGTAATATTAAGCAATCACAAGAAAGCGTCGAGGTAAAGAAAGGCGTCATGACTGTTGAACATGGGATGAGAAACGGCACCTAGACGATTTGAAAAACAATTCAATATGCGACATTTTTGATTATCAGAAATTTACAAACGTTGAGGCACATGTGCTACTTTAAACATATTACAGTCATTCTCACGTTCTCCGTGTACACTAGACTAATTTGACCAAGACTAACCCGATGATACGATGATGCAGATAAATTTTCAGGGGAGTTAAGGCTCCAAAGTTTATCGAGACTGTATCATTGTCAAAGGACATTTGAATCTTAATCTTCCCTCACAGCACCCGAACTGGCGTTACTCGGATAAAGCATGCCAGCCGAAAAGTTACCTACAACAATCCCACTTCTATGATAAAGATGGATGGCTCTGTGATTGTGAAATTGCAACTCTGTAGGTTGTGGTATTGTAATATTAGGAATTTGCAATTCATGGTGAGGTTGATGATCTTGAAAATGCATTTGGGCTCTGATGTTAAGAGGAAAGCTGCAAATAAAATAGTCGAAATTTTTTGGTTGGTACGTTCCATGTAAAATAATCATTTTCCTAGATTCTCCGTTTCTTTAAATTTTATTTGATCAACTGAATATGGGATGGGGACTTGTGCTTTTTTGGTGAGCAGATATGCCACCGACAAAACAGCAACTCAGGACTCAAAACTCTGAATTCAGATAAAATCCAAAACAACAACCCAAGTTGCAAAATTTTCAAATCAGTTGCAGACACCAATTTTATCCTGGTATAACATGAAGCAATTATAATACAAATGCTGATCTTTGTCAAGACCCAACCTTGAAAAACCTCCCAGTTCGCCTGTGGAAAAAATTCCATGGTTATGAAACATGTGAAATCATGGTTATTGCATGTTTGTGATAGGAAAATTAATTGAACCTGATATATTAGATTTATTATTCATTTTAAAAAACTATACATTGGGAAGGGAAATATTTTTTTGATCCTCCAGTCAACCTGATCCAACGGAGAAATGGATTTATTTATTCATTTACTTTTGTGAATCTCAGAGACCTGGATAGACATAAACTATTGTTTTGAAATCGGGTTCCTTAAAAAGTTTCATTCCTGGATGATCATGGTATTATTCATTACTTGGGAGATGCAATTGTTTATTATGTCAATGATGATATCAAATGCGTTTAATAATATTGTGATGGATGTGGAGACAAAGGGATTCGTGCATGAGGAAAGGATTAAATAGCAATATCGTGTTTATTTATTTTATTTTTTATCCAAAAATACAAGATAAAAAAATTGCCAAAAAATTAATTACATGGAATTCAAGACTGGACCAATTGTACCATTACATGTTCCAAGGTCAATCAAGCAATTATTTGAATACATTGGTACTCGTTATAATCTTATTAAAGAGGAATATATTTGTGTGTTAATTTAGACATCTTTATTTGCTTTTATAGGCAGCATTTTACAAATCAATTTTTTTATTATTTACATTACTCTGAAAATTATTTGCTTCTATTTATGTTTATGTTTTATTAGTGATTAGTAAAATGTTTTTTGAAATAACAGATTTTCCGTCCCCTTTTTGGCGTAGCTATCACGTAGTGGTGTCCTAAAGGAGGTTCGGGAATTATTTATCCTTTATCCTTGCTGATCATTAATTAAATCACATGACTACACCCTGCCCTCCCTTAACACAAACTACATGTACGTTATCAAGGATAATTGAAGTGATTTATGGCTAAAGTATACCTATGAAAAAAAGATGTGAATCAGCTTTAGAAAAAAAACTGATTTCTTGACTCAATAAAAATTCATAAGCTTTCAAATGAATTTATTTTGTACAACTTGTCATTTTTTAAAATTGTGATCGCTCATAGAAATAATACATACAAAATCGAATTAACAATGAATGTGCAATTTCGCATACGATAACGGATAAATAATTTACTATTACTATTAATTACTATTATAATTAATATATACTATTACTATTACTATAATTACTATTGATATTAACGGATTGCCGGACCGGGTTGTAACAGATAAGGTCTTAATGGTCGTAACACCAACAATAAGAAAATTTGATATACATACCAAAATAATCGCATTTCAACGAATTTTATATTAATACGTTTGTAAAATTTTTAAAAATTTGTTGTAACGCGAATCTAATTATTATTATAGTTTGAAGTTTGACTATCTCATTTTGGTTCAAACTTTAATAATTATCAAAAGTTGAAATTATTTTTGACCAAAATCATTTCGACTTATTTCGACTTTATTAAGATTTTATCAAAAAATCGAACCTGTTTTCATTTCTACCATCCAAAAAGTCGAAATTGTCTGATGTCTACTTCACTATCATATATCGATCCGACGGATAATCCGTCCAATTAGAGGTTGCACCCAATGAATAATATTCATTGAAAATTGCGTCCAAATAAATTCATCTGTTTGTTCATTTCTAATTAGTTAAATTAATTATTTCATTTAAGATGAAAGAAGAGCCTTCAGTTACTATAATAGGATAAAGTAATAATAGAATAATGAGAGCCTTCTTGTGCTCATATTTTGAAGAAAAGGGTGGTTTTAAGAAGTCAAGTTGGATATGGAACTTGATGGAAAAAACTGAAATCGCAAAAGATGGTGGAGAAAGAATCTAAAGGAGCTATTTGTCGAGTCAATGTCTCTAAGCTTCTGATGATGAATCCATATCTAACGGTATTATACACTTATTGGAAATACAATGACCTTAAAAAGAACTTGCTTTATTTGAAAATATTGTTTCTTTGAAATACATATTGATAGTTTTGATAGAATGTAAAATGATTAATAGATTTAAAATTTATTGTTAACAATGAATATTCACTGAATCTTCACAGAATTAATTTTACTAATCATTTGACGAATAATCAAAATATTCAGATATTCATTTGGTCATTAAATTAATTATTCAGTAAATTATTATTCATTGCCTCTACGTTCAATCCGTTCAACCTGACTATGACAGATTATCCGGATCATCCGATGAAATCCAACTGATGCATTTTTTGAGTAATTGATAAAAACTAAAAGTTTCCTTGATGTTTTATTTCCAAGTTTTTTTGGTCATTAGTTTGCACAAAATATTTCAAGCATTTAATATATTTTTAAAGTAGCTTTCAAATTGAGGGGTCAGAAAAATTTTATTGAAATCTTGAAGTCATCTTTAATAACATTATTTGATTTATGAAATAAAGTCGGCCATGAATTAGTGATTAGATCAAAGTAAAATTCGTCTAGATAGATTAATTTCGATTAATTATTGTTTCAAATCCCAAATATGCTTCATTCAGCGACCTCAATGCTAAGCCTTCTGTTTGAAGGACAAGTAAAAAAAAGCTTTTCATTTACTACTACCAAACCTTTTTACTACCAAGTCTTGGTTTGTACAAATTGTTAAAGATGATCTCCCGATTTTTATTGGCTGATTGGTTTCGCGTAGTTTTGACGTTTCAATGTTACTGTTGCTAATCGAGGTTTCGACGTTTCGCGAAATCCCAATAATTTCGCCCAGAAACTTATATATACATACATCTACACTGTGGAACCAGTTTACCAAAAAAATAAAAACTAATCTTGGACAAATAACACCATTATGTTTAAAAAAGAAACTTTAGTTTTGTTAATATTACATATTTATACCAATTCTTTCATGAATATTATTTAGAGGTGCAGATGTTGTTAGAAATGAACTAGAGTATCATAAACATACATTTCTTCTTTTAATGACCCATTGATGTTCTAATAATAAAATTAATCTCATCATGCGTTAAACAACTATATCTATATCTATTTTTATATATTTGAAATGAATAGTTTCTTAGATTCTGAATCTTTGTGGGCTGCTGTATTATATAAAATGAGATTCATCATAAGAATTTTTCGATTTACTTGCTTTAAAAAAACGTTTTAAGGCTAATCTGCCTATCATGTGCTATATATTTAACGAGACTATTTATTAATATATCCAGCTGATTATTTATTTTGAACATCTCTGATTTTCAGCAACGCGGGCACCTGTATATTCCTTTTCTTGGAGTTGGGGATTTCATATAGTGATGATAATAGCACTAATAATTATTTATTGCCAAGTGGTGAGTGCCAGTTAAAAATAAGTGTTGGTGAGGGCATTCTTTAGGTGGGCAAGAGCATAAAAAGTTGGCTTCGAAATTATCTTTGAATCTAGTGTATAACTTCTTTTCTTTAGAATTAAAAAATTGGAAATAAACGCAGTTTTTAGTTCTAGGTATTTTCAGGTACCGGCTCATTGGATCATTAGTGTAACATATTAATATTAGTATTTCATGTACCAGGTCAAAACCTGTCAGTCTTGACGAGCCCAGAGCATTACCAACTCTGTTTATTTTGAATGTTAGCTGTATTGTTTTAGTGATGATATACCGTACTTTCTTGTCATCATGAGAATAACATTTTCATTAATCCAAACCAAGCTAAATCTTCTGATTGGTTTATTTTGTCTCTTGCTAATAAAAACCAGATAGAATTCTATAAAATGATTTTCATATATGTGAGTTGTTATTAATGGTTTGTCGTTCGTACTCGGGTTTACTTTAAATTAATCATATCTATGGGGATATTTGTCTGAAGGCTATGACAAACAAACCTTCTTCTAGATGAGTTAAACTTGACACAGAAAGAATGTTCTCAATAACAACTGCAACAATTCAACATCAACGATAGACTGCTTTGGCGAAAGAAATTGTATGATATGGATACACCAAAGTCCTCAAAATAACATTCTATATATAATTGTCATGTCGATCAATGTACATACATTGATCTTGGATGTTGCAACATTTGGTTAATATTTGATTTTTTCATTGATTGATTGACCAAATATAATAATTTAAAAGTGAATATTCAATGAATAATCAATACCTTGCATAACTGAACTCAAATGAAATTTTCTCATGTCCAAATGAATCCTCGTTTAATTCATCTGTTTATTCATTTCTAATCAATTAAATTGATTATGTCATTTAAAATGGAAGAAGGGTTTTCAACCATTATAATACGAGAAAGTAATAATAAAATAATGAGGGGGGGTTCTAAAAAGTCAAGTCAGATATGGAAAGATGATACATTCTTGTGGTGAAAATATAATAATAATAAATATAGATTTCAAAGTTAGCCACTACATACTTGTATGCACCTACAACGTCCACTCCGGACGAGAGATCATTTAGCCAAGCTGGAAATGCAATAATCCCAAAAAGAACAAACTTAAACCACTTTTATTTGACATTGGTAATTTTGATAGAATATAAAATGATAAAATTTTTTGTTAACTGAATAATTAATTTAATGATTTAGAATATTAATATAAAACGAGTACGACGATCTCTAATCTTGTGTAATGTCTGTGCGGTAGTTTTTCGGAATATCCTTTCATCAATAGTAGTAGTAATCGTAGAATTTCGGTTAAATAATTAATTCTGTGGGGGGAAAATATGCAAAGTAATTAAAAAAAATTTTTTAAATTTTTTCCTTTTTGAAATCAGTGATTAATATTATGTGTAGTATGTGAAGAGTAGTTGAGTATGTGCGAAGGAATGCGAGTGTATATGGACTAAATAAAAGACAACATCTTTATCTTCTTGGCCAATAATTATTAAAAACATGAGATATTTTTGTGTTGCAAAAATAATTAAAGTTAAATGTTTCATTATTGTGTAACTTCTAATATATAAAAAACATCAATCCTCAGTTTCTCATGAATGGACACGCTGTATATATACTAACGATTACACCAAATAAATCTAGATTTGGTGCTCGTGTTTTTGTGGGGGTGGAATTTTATTTCATTTAACGGGAAACCTCTTTCTTTCAACTCGGTTTTTATTATTAATCATAATTGCAATTAAAAAACAAGTTGCTGATTATTATTTGTTGTTGTTTATCGATTACAGAATTTTTAATTTATGGATATTAACACATTGTAACACAAGGTCAATATTTAAAGAATCTTGGAAGTTTTTATCCTATCAATTCTAAGGAGCTAAATAAATTTGTGTGAAAAGCTAAGGAGTGTTTATTTGGAAAGAACACCAAATAAGTATTAGTAGTTCAAATTTAACTTCTTTTTTTAGATTATTGGAAAAAAGCTGGTCTAATATTGATATTTACAAATAATTATGCCCTTGATATTAATTCTTCTCGTACGTGGCACAGTTTCTTTTTTTTAAAAAAGTATTTAGAAGTTCCATTGTATTACGTACATTTATTATCATCATCAGAAAAACAATAGATAATTTGTATGTATGTTTGTTTATGTGTGATAAATTTTTGTGTACTTTGTGATTGATTGTTGGATTAAAATTGGATTGGATTGGATTGGATTGGATTGTGACCGATAGAATGATGGAATGAAGAAGTCCTGTGAGAGAGTACAAGTGACTACATTATATTACATTATATTATTATCAGTTATATTTTATTTATTTTATGATCTTCAAATAAAATTTTAGATTTTTTGTTTAATTTAGATGGTGTCACACATTTCACATGCTGAAAGTTTTCTATCAGCATCAAACCTAAAAATATTGGGATTAGGATTAAAATTATAATATCATGACTGGAGAGGGAAAAGAGAACATATGATTTCAATTTTTAAAATCAATTGATAAATGGGTAAAAAAAATGTTAATCAACTAACTAAATCATATATATTTTGTTAAAACTCATCTACACGAGTCATGACTTTGGTTAGTTAGTTGGTTAGATTAGCTGAATTAATGTGGTAAAAGAATTTATAAATGATGCAGAATAATAATATGAAAGAAACAATGTATGTATGTTGTGGTGGTGTGGATAATTATATATATTATATGAGGCTGAGAAAATCATTAAAAAAAAATCAAAAAAAAAAAAAATTAAAAAATCGTTATTTTAATATTTATCTATTTATCTGTTACATTATTTATTTATTATTTATTGTTATGATAAAGGAATAATATAAATAATTAAAAATAATGATAAATGAATATAATGAATAAATGATGGATGATTAATAAACAATTAATAATAATAATAAACAAATATAAACAATTAATATTCTTTCATTATTTTCAATTTTATTCCCATTATTTTTCAAATTTGATTTTTTCAAATTTAAGGTTTTATAAAAAATTTGAATTTATCAATCAATTTATCAATGAATCAATGAATCAATGAATCAATGAATGAATGAATGAACACCAATATGAAATATAATACAACACTAACTGCAAAAACAATAACAACAAAAAAAACAGCCAATTCAAATAAAAAAAAAAATTTTTTTCACATTCATCATTCTTTGAATTTTCAAAAATTGCATTGCATAATTTTTTTATTTGGAATGAAACTTGGGGAAAAAGAGATAAAAAATAAATCTAATTTAGTGTGTGTATGAATGATGTGATAATTATAGCAATTATAATTGTATTAATATTGGGTTTATGTGTTATTATTATTATTAATCAGAATACAAAAATGCTAGCTGCTAAAAAAAACTAAAACTAATTGGCTATTGTTGAGCTTTTAATTAGACTTTTGAGGTAAATAACAACTACTAGGTTATATCTGCTAAGCTACTGATTAACTAGTTGGCTTTTCAAATAAACCCTCACTATTTAATCAAACTCATATTATATATCAAAAGCTTAACTAGATTAACAATACCTACAAATTTCAAAAAACTATTTATTTTATATATATATAAATATTAGACAGTATATTACGTAATCCACTAATTTAGGCTATTCTATTTAAATAATTTTTTCTAGAAATTTCATCATCCATCATCATCTACTTTTAGATCACGCACTCCCGCAAAATCAAATAATATACAAATCAAATGCAGTTTGTAAATCTTGAAAATATTCAAAATAATATATAAATTTATTTTGTAAATTTTTCATTTTCTAAGCCATATATGCACATACTCACACAATAAAATAGATTTACATTAAATAAATAATATAAAAAATAAGTCATGTAACAAGAATAATAATATAATGTTATATATTATTACTATGTACACATACAGTATACACAGTATATACATACATACATGATAGTGCATCAAAAACAATGGTAAAACTTCAATTCATTTTATATATAAAGTAATATTACGTATTTATTTATAAGCTTTTTTATTAATGAATGAATCTTAAAAAATTTCTTTTATTCCCTACAAAAAGTTTTCAAAAATAATAAATAATAATATGTCAACTTCTTAATCTGTGTGTATTTTGAAAATTTTTCATTGTTCTACTTCCAAATTGTTATATATTAAGAGTAATTATTACAAATTAATCATTATAACAAATTAATAAAAACGCGTAATTTTATCATTTTAACAATCGAAACGCGACTTCTTAATAATTTCAATTGGAGATTTATCAGAATAGAATAACTGGATTTTCGCTTATTATTACATCGGAAAAAACATCCAAAGTAATAAAAAGTAATTATTATTCATATGATAATTCTGCAAATAATATTAATATAGAAAGTAATAATAAATAAAATAAATAAATAAATAACCAATTGAATTGAATTATTATTAATTGTTGTTTATCAACAAAGTAAAGATTTATTTCGCAAGTAAACTTCACACTTGCCATTTTTTCCGATCAATCATTTTTTTCATTTCATGTCACCAGATTAACAATGTGTAACAGTAGAAAATTAACCAACTTCTCCATCCCATCATCACATATATACACACATCACCATATTTATGTTACACACATACAACTAAATTTCAAAAAATAAAATAAAATAAATCAATAAATCAAGTTGATAACACGTTTTTTCTCCAACAAATAAATAATTTGTATATTATACACACAATATGAAATAATAATACTTTCAATAAAAAAATAAAAAAATATAAAAATATAAAAATATAAATTTCTCACCACAAAAACTTCCCTTTCCATCGACTAATTAGGCAATTAATTAATCGATCGTCTAGCAAGAAAAGAAGCCTAAGCTAAGAAAAAAACTATCACAGTAAAGCAAGTTAATTAGTTAATCATTTGCAACCAATCAAATTCCTAGAGGACCCTTCACATCATCGTTTTATTATTGTTATGTAATAAGATTTTACCGCCTTCACGCAATCCTTCACTTTTTTCCCCGCAAAAGAGGCATTTTTTTTTTCTCCTAAATAAATCATTTTTAAACAATTTCTTTAAACCGTCAAAGATTTCCCATGCTGAATAACCATTTATTACATCATTTGTTCCACCTAGGATCACGACCCAATCATACCATTTTCCAGGTTGTTCAAGCTCATTTTTTAATCTTTCTTCCATCGATACCACACACTCACCAGGTACACCGCTGACTGTTACCTATAAATGTAGTGCAATATGTGTCAGAACTCTAATTAGGATTGGAATTATTAAAAATTATATAATTTTAATATTTATTATTTACCTCGACGTCTAAGCCTTCTTCTTCAAATCTTTTTTGTAAACGTAAACCATAAGGATAATATGATGCATAACCTTCAGAATTTTTCATCCAGCCTTTATTATCATTGTGATTATTGAGAAAAAATGTGATAATCAGAAAAGTTTCATATTTAAAAAAATTAATTTTGATTAATTAATTGATTTGATTGATAAAATTAAATATCATCAGATATATATTTTTCTCTCTCTCCCAAAGAAATATTTAAATACATACCAGCAGTTAGACTATCGCCAAATAGCAATACATTGTATCTTCTTCTTGGACTATGATCACTTTTAATTGTCGAAACAGAAGCATTTCTACGTTTCCTTAATACAGATTTTACAATTATTTGTTGTTGTTGTAGTCTAGTATTGCTGTTACTTTCTTCATCGTCTAATTTCTCTGAAACTTCTTGTTGATTACTATAACTTTTTTTTCTATTGTTATTACTACGTGTGTTAGTGCCGGTATTATAAATCTTAGTAAAATCGTAAAAAATTCATAATTTTTATAAATAAGGAAACTTGTTACTGCTGTTTTATTATTATTGTAATAAATTCTTGGACTAAAATGGTGATGACATGATGAACATTTTGTATGTTTTACTTTTGTGAGAAGATATCCATTCCATATTCCGTAAATGCTTTTAGTGATAATCGCTTTTTTTGTTACCCATATCAGTAAATAGTCGATGGGCTGAAGTATCAAGAATTGGAATCAACACATCCTTACCATTAATTTTTTCTATGCTAATCATTTTTTATTTTTTTTTAAATCGTATTATTTTAACATCTTTCTTCCAAAAGATTCTTCCAAGAAGGAAGGCTCCTTTATACTTTTCTTGCGAATTAGGGAGGTTGTTAAAATCATGATCAAAATACCTATAATCATTATTTCAGGAATTCAATTTGATAGAATGAACTTTTACCAATTTAATGAATATACTCTCCCTCTAATTATCTCCTTTCTAACTAAA